TGTGGGGGGGGGGGGGGGGGGGGGGGGGGGGGGGGGAAATTGGCTCGCGAGAGCCGTAACGGCCTGGGCGAATTTTCTGGTCGATTTTCGCGGTAATGGCTTCGAGCGCCGATTTACCGTGTCGCTCGTTCCCGGCGTGCCTCGTAAAAAGGACAAAGGGGCTGGCAAGGCCCTTGGTTCTTTGTTGCAGCGCACGGAATACTGTAATATATTCGCATTGTTCTCCGCGGCCGGTTTTTGCCGGAGGGCTGCGAAGCGGCGGCTGCAAAGGCCAAAGATTCGTAGTCCCGGAGAGAGAGAGAGAGAGAGAGAATGGTCCGAAAGGGCCTCACTTCTCCCTTCGTATCGATCCTCCGATTTACTTTATTGGGGAACGCACCCCGGGGCCACACGGGCCCCCGTGTCCGTATGAAAATGTTAACACGCGCTACCTCCGCGAGAGCGCAAAATATATTTATGTCTGGCAAGATCGGCATCGTCCGGGGACCGCGGTAGCGCGGTTCAATGTCAATTATGCTAAATCGATTAATATAACGTCTCATTTCGGGCCGCTATTTGATCCTCCCTCGACCGGCAGTGCGAATATTATCTCACAATTTGTCAACATTCCAGTTAACGAAACTGAGCTTTAAACCAATTAATTTTTAATTATTGCTTTGCGGGGTAAACATCTGTAGGTTATAAATTGCTCCACAGGGCACTGTAGCGGCTCCGTCCGAGCCGGGAGCTGTGAGGCCACGCCCCCTCTGGACTCTCAACGAGACCACGCCTCTCGACGTACGTAAGAACCTCGACTATAACTGTACTGGGTTCTTTATTACTTAAATTACTTTATTACTTTATTACTAAAATCTTCGGTTGTTCGTAGTAATAACGGTGAATACTATAGAAGGACCTCGGTGAAACCTCGACATCTTATACTATCATATTAATAATTTATCAAAAATAAAAAACAATTAACCACGAATTTTTAATTCGGATAATCGAAGTCCCACCGTATTTGCATAACAAGAACAGTGAAAACCAATCCTTTGGGACACTCTGCGTGCAAAGAACAACGAAACCACGCCTTTCAATGTACTGTACACAATGGTAGCAACATGTTTCAAATGGACGCATTGTTACAGCTCTGTTCCACGAAGTACAATACTAATTTTATTTAGCCTAGGATCGGGAACTAGTGCTAGAGCAACTTGCCACTGTGATAAATGAATTCGCGCGATACTCGCGACACATTAGCCCCCCCCCCCCTGATCAAGATACTAAATGAGTACTTTGTTATCGTGGCACACATAAACAGAGACCTTGAATGGCGGTCTATCCTAGGCATCGTTCTCTCGCTCCCTAGAGAGAGGGAGAAAGAAAGAGAGGCTTTGTGTGTTATCGCGGAGCTGTAACAAAGTCGCCACCTGCCCCGTAATCTGCTGGTATCGCGAGGAGAAATGCACACTCTTGTGCTCGCATCGTCAAGGTGAGACTCGCATAATTCACGTTCGCGGATGGGGGAACATTTTGTCTGGAATGCGTACGGGGACCAGAAATTAATCCGAAATGTTATTACGATTTTAAAAGATCGTCGGTTCATTTGGTATAATAATATGAAAGATTCGAGGTCGTTTTTGCAATCTCAGAATTAATTGCATTTCTTAAATAAGTAATATGTTACTTATTTAAATTGTTCCCTTGGCAACGGTAGGGAGCCATTACAACGAAGCGATTATGCTCAAATGATCTTCACAATTCATTACACTGAAATTATTCTAAGTCACGTGGCCGAGTTGCGGCGTTTCAGAGAGCAAATCACTATAAATCAATGTCAAGAAGGTGATCGCACGAACAGAACAATTATCTTCAGTTCGAGAAGTTCAATCTTGTGCAAATTAGTTCTGGAAGACCTACACTACCGTTCAAAAGTTTCGACATTGTGATATCTCTCTGGTTAATAAATATCAGGCTTCTATTATACAATCGACTTTCAATTGATCAACTTTTAGATCGTGCACCGTTCTATGCGTTTTACAATTAAAATCTCGGCGAATTTTTGAACCCCTCAATTTTCTCGTTCCGATCAATTAGTTATAGAACAATTCTAGTCTCTGGTGTGCACGCGGATTGTGAGAAATTTCGGAACGGCTTGCGAAAGCAAGATTCAAGATTTAACGAGTGTGTACTGCAAAAATTATCGAAAATTTGTTTAAACGGTTTACAAACTTTTGATCGTTAGTGTATACATTGGTCACTTCAAAGAAACCGTGGGCTAGATGATTACAGCCGCATGATTATTCCCCGAATTTCTGTCCGCGAAAAAAAACAATCGCTGATGGACCCCATGGATGCCGTGTGAGGGAGAGAGACAGAGAAAGACAAAAAAATCGGCAACCTAATTATAGGTTTCACTAGCTTTGCTTGCTACATTCCTCATTGTACATTTCGGCAGTGTAGATCATTATTAGTCGATTATGGAGAAAGTAGCTTATTAATTATTGTCCTGAACCAATTAATCACGTTTCATCGTGCGTTAGCATTTGGCCAAAAATTCTACTCAATACGAACAAAAAATTTCAATGAATTTTAATTGTGATTGAATTCGCGATTCAAATCGATCCTGATCGCGATACAAAGTCTCTAACCGTGGGTTTCAAATATCTCTACATTACATCACGACCCTAAATCGTCAGATATCAATACAAACAAACATCTCGATAACGTTTAAATGTATCTATACGTGTACATAACTGTGAGCTAAATCTCACGGTATGTACATCTAGTATAATTTTAAATATCAGTTACATTTCATAGCAATTATTCTATGATCTGTTTTCTATTTATGAAAATTAAAATTAATTGAAAAGTTTGCATCACGTAATTCAATTAAAGCGTAAGTCAATTGCAATTAAATTATGCAATTACAGCTTTTCAATTGATTCAATTATTGCCTGCTGTAATTGCAAGTGCAATTAAACTGCAATGCAATCGAGTCATATACATGTATCTCTGCTTGTTTATGCTCAGATATGATGAATTGTAATGCAACTGGATTACATGAAAAACATAAAGATTAGCAACAAATCAATACCTGAAAATGTTAAACAGATCTCCAAATACATATTTCACTTACCTTGACAAACGAATGGAACTTCACTTTACTGGGTGAAACTGGGGGACTGCTAGGTGGTTGTCGGTTGTTCGGCACCCTCAACAGGTTTTGGACCTCCAATAAACATCCCTTCTTCGCATACCTACTCTTCGGACTGGCCAGAAGATCCCGCTCCATCTTGTCCTTCTTTATGATTTTCAAATTTTCCTTCGCATTTTGCCTGAGCATAATATGAGTCAGTCTTCTGGAGTTAGCCTTGAAATCGCTGACACAAATTCTTCTCCAGGTCTTGGACACCATACTAATCGAGCAAAGATCCTGAGGCCCAAGATACGAAAGGATCTTTGATACTGTCCTCCAATGGTTACTCTTATCCCCTAAAAGTGCTAACATATCTACTGTTTTTCTCCCGGTGTAATCTGGAGTTGCCCTGGCACGTTGCAACAAGACATTCTGAGAGAAGTCGAGTCGTTTGGGCTTGATATCTACGATGGAAAGCTGGCTGAGCTTATTATTGTCAGCGGAGGTAGGACTGGTTGTTCTATAGCTTGGAGATAAAATGATCCTTGGCGCAGGGGGTGGTGTTTTAAGTCTAGGTGCATGAGGAGTACTCTGAGACACAACGACTAGCTTCATCTCCACATCCTCCTCAATGGGCTCGCATGCCACAAACGAGGAAGAGGGGACAGCGGGCGAAGGAGGAGGTGATAGAAGATGCAGCCTCGTGGCAGGCGTTATAGGCACCGTGGTTCTCCATGCCCCACGTTTGCATCCTGTACTATCGTCCATCGATTCATAATTGTCGTACAAACTCGATTGGTCCAGCAAACTATCTCTACTCGAATTCTCCGAAGCTTGGATTAATTTATGCTTATACCTCTGGGCGCGTTCGGATTGCAGAGGATCGACCCTTGACCTGTGGTGTCTTTTGGAGGAGATACAAGACGCCCTGGACCTGCATCCCGAGATCACAGGAGTGAACGAGTGAGGAGTCAGCGTCAGGTAGCCGCTGTCGACGCTGTCATGCGAGGTGCTCGAGTGGATCGACTCGCTGATGTTTATGCTCTCCATCGAATTCATTTTTCTCTCAATTCTTCAGACTGTCAAGTAGCATATTAGTTTTGACGTTTCATAGATTCGTTGCGCACGACAAACCGAAAGTTTCACCACGCTCCCCACTCGGCATGCTCACGTGCGTCGCGCGGGAAACTGGCAGACAACATCGAAGTCACTTCTTTGCGACGAAAAGATAACAAAGACGGAAAAAGTCAGCACGTGCCACGGCCCTCACTCGACGTGTGTATTTTCGATCGACATTATACAGATGGATCACCGGCTTCAATCACTGTTTGGACCACTGTCCGATGAAGCGAACAAACAAGCGCACCCGGTCCGTGTGACCGTCCACGCCGACCGCCTCGAGAACTTTGAAAACTGTTTATCCGTTGCCCCACCGCGCAGCCAACGAGGACCGATCTACCAATCAGCGCGTTCGTCTCATCCCGCCGCTCGTTGCCAAGCACTCCTATTGGCCGGAGAATTTCGGGCCTGCGCGCGACTCTGTTCTCTCTCGCGGCCGCCACTTCACTCACGTGATTCTGTTGCTGGGGAGACCAGGGGAGACCGTCTTGGTTCCCTCTCGCCCTGAGCGCGCTTATGACAATGTCAATTCTGTTCTACGATGTTTTCGAAAAAAAGAATAATTCGATAATAGGATGTTATTATTGAACAATTTTACAAGGAAAATTTGTAGAGCGGACAGTAATACAAATTGAACATTTTGAATACAGAAGAATTAATGCGTTCTAGATGTTAACTGAAATCTGAATAAATTGCGAACTTATATCTTTTGAATTTACAGGCACTTTTTATTTTGATATAGACGGAGATCATGTGACTTTTGATCTTTTGAAAGTTATTGCTAGGTCGTGATCGGCGAAACTGGGTCCGTCGACGACGTTTTGAATTGTTTGCCACTCTGACGCAATGTTCGAGCAATTTCGAAAAACGAGCTACAAGAAAAATATTGATCAAACGTTCTAGAAAGCAATGTCTCGATACGATCTTATGAAAACGTTATTGATTGTGTCTTTTTAAATGTTGTCTTCAACTGTTTTCGGGACTGTATTCAAGCTGCTTTACAGTAAACATAAGATACATTGCAGATGAAGATTAATCTCGATATACATACATGAAATTAGCAGATTCTTCTTAAATAGACTCTTTTTAACTTATTTTGCACATTTTGCACCGCACGTTTGCAATTTTTTCAAAATATTTTTAATGAGACGTTTACGAGAACGTCAGACTTTTGCAAAGTTCAGCAAAGCACGGACAAGGAACGTTATAGAGGGAATACTTGGAACAACTTCGTGACGTGAGAATCTGTATTGCTGACAGAAACCTAGACGAGTTATCCACCGTACTTTTTCTATTACCATTCCAGTGTCGAAACTTCCCTTATCAATTGCAACTTACTCAGTGGAACACGTAGATTTTCGTTTTAGAAATTCATGAACTATTGATAACATTCCCGTGTCGCGTTCATAGTTAACGACATTTAAGAAATTTAGGCTTCTTAGTAAAGATTGAGTATTTTGTATACCTCATTCGTGTTAGGGGAAGGCGTGGCCACAGACTTATTATCCATACAGATTGCATTTAATCGACTGTTCTGTTTCTTAGCGATGTCGGTATTTCAAAACATGTGAAACGGAATCCCATATGGTGTCCAGTCTATTTTGATACCTTGTCTGTGGTCCATGCTCAGTTGATAAGTAGATATCTGACAACTTGTTACCTTGGAATATCCATTTGACTTTCCAAGGAAGCATACGAATTTTAATAACGACGTGTTATCCAGTTAAACGCTGCGGTAAACGATAAGCTGTAAACATATTGTTGGATGACATGTCAATCAGTAAATATTAAATACCAGTAATTCTTGTCACGTGATAAATTATCAGGAAAACGTAATAGACTTCGGAGGATCTGCGATGTCAATAGAAAGAATGACAGAACAAAAATTCTTTGTTTCATGATAAACACTGTTCTCGCATGCTTTTGCAGTGTCCGCAACACAATTGCTTTGAAATTCATATGCATTTCTATAGCCACATTTGTCCAACATGGAATTAGTAAAGCGAGAGGTAAACAATTTTTCCTTGACTTCTCTGTGCCACAGTTGTCATACATAGACTACCCCAGGTTTTAATGAATAAGCTTTGTTAGCATTTCTACAGATGTGAATAACAAAAATATGTTACACGTGTATTAAATTATTTGAAGTTTCTTCAAAATGCTGGAACAATAATAGGCTTGTGGTTATTGTAATATAATGTTAATTTATACCTTGTACTTCTAGAAAAAAGGAAAAAAAATTAAACAATTAACTATAGACGATGACATACCAGAAGCTCCTACATTGGAAGGGTTCGAATGTTTGTTTGGGGAACCGCCTACGCATTATCCTAAAGGCGAAGGCATTGAAAATATGGAAAGTGAATTACATTTTGCTGCTATTGACTCAGAAATATATGACCAGGAAAATGCTGCACTAGCTGCAGAATGTAATTTACAAGTGGCAATCGATAAGGTATTTATATTTTCTGAATAGCTTGAACTTCTAAATATCTGTACAAAGAGCTTATTTAAATATACAAATTTTAGGACAAGATTAATGCTTCAGCACCAGTGGAAAACAACTTAGACGAAAATGTAGATGAAGCTAAGACTTCAATTTCTATGATAAAAGCAGAGAATACCACATCTCAGTCCCAGTTAGATAATAATATAGCTACAACTTCTGATTTATTGAAATCTACATCGGTTGCATCGAATTTAAAGGATTTTGGCTGTGGTAACCAAACGAAAGAGGCGACACCATTAACAGACACTGTAGACAGTGCACAGATTGCTTCAGAAGAAGTTAAACCATTCACTGCAAGCCAATTAGCATCATTGTACGATAATCAGGAATTAGGTTTGATTGATATGTTCATTTCAGAATTCATAGAAGCTCAGCTTAAAAGCGGCTCACTTAGACAACAGCACAGATTATATGAGCTCTTAATGAAATATCTCCGCGTGAGAAATCATTTGATCGTCAACTCGCACGAGTTGGAAATGCTAAAGAAAACATGCAGAGAAACACAGAAACAATTATGGTGTATAGATAAAGCACATGTTACAGAATCAGGAGAATGTCAGGATGGGAATCCAGTTAGCGCTACACACGAATATTCCACTGCTCACTTCAATAAACAAGCACTGCTCTCTCTGTCTCGAACTTTGTCAGCAATAAAAGAAATGTTGTACAATACACAAGCATTGTACTGTTACGAAGCAGAATTGTTAAAGTTGCAAATCGAGCATTATGTACAGAGCATCTGTGTCTCTTGCAAAGAGTTCACTAACATTTCTCAGAATACACAAGTTAGCCTGGCGCCAATACAGACTCCTTCGCAAACAGTACCACAGTTAATTGAGATCAAAATGTGCATAACTATATTATTTTACTTTCAAAGAAAATTGTTGAAAGATCGAAAATTCGTGATGGACTCTAGAGAGTGGCTCACAAAGCTGATAGCGATATTGCTGAGAGTGGCAAACTGGCAAGATCATTTGTTCATATTAAATCACATTCTGAGATGTCCTGGTGGTGTGATGAACTGGGCTCGCAATTATGTACAGTTGCCAGTACCACAGGATTTCACTACATCAAGTACATCTCCACTGAATGATCCATATCTGGACCATATAATAGCTACTTTAGCTGTTATTTTGCTACCAATAAAAGATCGCGATGAATTTATTGAACAGGTATATGTGTTATATTATACTTTAGATGATCTCTGTACAAGTATAATAAAATCTATTGTTTTAATTAGGTACAAATTTCATTACAAGATACAGAATACAGTCCGGATGATACAATGTGGGTAATATTAGATCAAGAAGGTGAGGAGGATGAAGACATAGCCAACAATGGTACAAACCTTTATGAGAATGATCTTATTTTGCTGATCAATCAGATTCCTTTTGACAAAGTGTTTCAACATGTATTATACATACAGTGTCAGAATGATAGATACTATCAAAACGAACGCTTCATCACTGACCATCATATGCTACGCCTATTTGCATTCTTTACAATTATCATTAAAATTCTAAAACAAGGTTTAAAGACCTATGACTCTCCAAGATATAGACAATTAGCCAAACGGCTTTGTGCGTTAATTAGAGACATTGTTCAATACGCTAGCGACCAATGGGAAGAATTCGATAAATATAAGGTAATTCCATATTATTACACTTAATGATATTTTTATGTTGCAACAAAAAATATTATTTTTATAGCTTGCTGATAAATCAACACTGCTGAGGCTGCAATTAGAGTTCGATTATTTCTTTTTGAAAGCAGTTCTTTGTATATTTTCCTCACGTCGGCTGGGTGCATGGCAATATTTAGCCACTGTTCCATATCATTTGATATCTACGAATAATTTATGGCAAATTTTTTATATTCTGCATACTGATTCAACGCAGACCGATATTCACATAATGAACGTAGACGTACAAAGTAAGTGCTAAAATAGAGATACTAACATGTAATTGAGTTTGTAACGTTATAATAATCTTAACAGATTGGGAAGAAAAACTAAATAGCCCACAACTTCGTAATCAATTTGAAGATAAATTATGCAGTATGCCAGGAGATGAATCATATTTTCTCTTAACTACTTTTGCCAATATGGCTATGGCAAGAATTAACAAAGACTACGATTTTGTTAGAGTAACAACTATTGACTTG